TGAGTAATATTTAAGTGATTTAACTTAAGAGGCCTGAGGATAAGTAGTAGATATTAGTCAAAAAAAAAAAAAAAAGGTTAAGTTGTACTAAAAAAACAATAATGTCATTTCTGTAGTTAAAGCTTCCTATGGTTTTCCATTGAACTTAAAATAAAACTCATTCATCTCCAAAGCCAAAACTCCCTGCTTATTGGACCACTGTCTTCATCTCTTATTTATCACCTGCTACTCCTTACCTGCTTAGATGTTTCTTGATTGTATATACTAAGTTCATTTCTACCTTAAAGTCTTATTTCTGACAGAGTGGAATGTATCCATTCCTTCTTTCTTTCTTTAAACCTTTGTAATAAAACTGCAGACAATGAAGTATAACCTCCTCATTAATTTTTCCATTTGCGCAGGATTTCCTGCATTCCTGTACTCCATCTTAAATCAAATGTCATTCTCCAGAGAGGACTTCCTTCCAAATAGACAATTTTCTTCATAATAACTTATCACTTCCTGCAGTTATGTTGTTCATTTATTTGTTTGCCTGTCTTGTCTCCTTTCATCAGCATGCAAGGTCCATGAAAGCAAGGACTTTGTCCTGTTCACTTGTGTATCTCCAGTCCCTAGAATAGTGTGTGACGCATTATAGACCTTCAATAATTAATAACTTGAAAGATGAGGTTTGGGTGTGAGATAATAAGCTCACTGTACAAAGTTTGTGCTCTACAAACATTAAATTCCTTTCTCACCCTCTGCTAAGACCAGTCAACTCAGGCCCCTGATCAGTAAGTTTTATAAAAATATTATCCTAGATGTAGAGAATATACACATTATTATTCAAAAACACAAAAAGGAGTAATGACATTACCTGCACTATTCTTTTTTCGCTCCTCCCAATCACTATCACTATTTGCTACTGCTCTCTCTCTCTGGACATAGACCTTTAGAACTGCTTGAGAGGTTTCCCTTATTTGGACTTCTAACTAGATTTGTTCAATGTGAGGTACCTTTAGGAGACCAGAAAGTAGGAGAAGAGTGAAGAAATTTTGACTAGTTTCCTTAAACGAAAGCTTAAAATTGCTTCTAGTTCTCTCCTATCGTTTTTTCCAGACAATGGTCACCCCACCTTTATACCTGGGGATGTTATATCCCTTAATGGCTTCCCTTAACCCTGACAATGCCTTTGTAAATAGGCACTCATTAAAATTTCTTCAATAATTGAAGGAGTGCCATCCTTCAAAATGAAATACCTATCTGTTTTCTCACAGGACTCTAATATAGTCAGAATGAGAAAAAATAGGCAGAATTAAAATGGGCTTCAATAACCCAAAAAACAACAAAGCTAACAAGAGCTCACATGATCGGCTGAGATATGCGTGCTTTGTCATCTCCTCTTTTTATATTTACGGATCACTAAATTCTAAGATTGAACTTAGAGGTTGAGGTGAGTTTGGGGTTTAGGAGATCAACATCTATGAAAGGGGAGAAAGCTGAACTGAGCAGGAGGGAAAGTCAACACAACACAGGGCCACAAATCTCTGTAGTGAGGAACACCTGCCAGAGTGTTCCACATTAGGCTGAAATGACCATGTCCTTGTATTCTCTTACTATGTATTCATTAGATTGACTGCATCAACCGAAAGGGTGACTTTTGGGTAGGCAGTTTTCTGAAGCTCAAGTAGTAGACCTTGAAGTAGCACTCAGCTTGATATTGTACGCTAACTTCACTCACTCCCTACAGCTGAGCACAACAGCTTATCTTAAAGAGGGATTGAGTAGCTGTCTCCATGTCATCCACAAAAGTTTGAATTTTAATCTCTCCTAAGCCTTGTCTCTCATTGCACAATTGCCTACCTTGGAAACTCTTTCCAAAAGCTCTGTTTTAGTGCCCACTCCCTGGTTAAACAAACAAAAACACTCCAGCTCAGTCAGTTCAGCTTATCCCAAGAAACTTGTAGAAAAATTTTTCTCTTCTATAAATTGTCAGTGTAACAGTCAAATGGTTGAATAAAATGTGTTCACAGTGTAGGAAAGCTAAACTGTAGAGAAGATAGTATATAAAATAGCAGAAATAATATCACCAAGCAGTAGGACTGCAGCATTCATATGTCTTTACAGTCTCATAGAAAGAGTTGCTCTATATTATCTTTAAGACATGAGAAGTTTTGATGATTTATTATTTATCTTAATACAGTAGATACTCTTACCTCCTGTAGGTCCTTCTGTTATTATGATTTCTTCTTCTGCAGCAGTACTATATTTTCATACTGACATAATACTTGATTTGCAAAATGCATCAGCAGTTAGATAATTAAGTAAGCTAATATGCCTTATTAACTTAGACATATTAAGTTAACTAAAATTAATACTTTGGTTTCATTAAATTAAATACTTATTATAAATGTGCTACCACATTTGTTAAATTATATTTAAATAATTGTCTGGGGCTTCCCTGTGGGTGTAAGGGGTTAAATCTCAGCAATATCAAGCTAAAGCCAGCCACTACAACATGAGTTTGATCCCCAGTCAGGGAGCTACCCAAAATGGCACAGCAGACCTATCTAGCTCACTGCTTCCCTCATCAATATATCTCAGTAGATTTGCCTGTTCTGCTTTTCTCTGTCTCTGGTGAATCCTCTCACACCCTCTTTCCCCCCACCCCCCCACACCTCTGGTTTACACTCCAGTTTTTGTATGAATAAATGAAAAAAAAATCTTGAAAAAAATAATTATCTGAATACAAAATGAGATCATCTGAATGTTTTAAGTATAAGAAAATGGGAATGTTTTTAATAGAAGAAAATATCTTAGGATGGTATGTTGGGCAAGAGTGTTTCTGTTCTTTGTCTTGACCAAATCCCTTTAACAAGTCAATAGATAGATTTAAATTTAGTTGCATGTTTCTGTCTCTTAACTTGGAACATCACTAAATTAGTACAGATTTTACTTAAAATGTCTTTAATTTGGAATACAGAAAGGATAAATTTGTATGGTTCTTAAATATTCTAATTTTGATATAATAAACTATGCAAATAATTTTATACCAAAATTTGAAGCTGAAGAGGTAAATAGCTTTAGCAACGGAGTTTATAGATATGCAAAATGTTTGGGGAAACGGATCTACACTTTTTTGGTGTGCATAGGTATAGCTATGTACTGCTCTGATTGCAAGTCAAAAGAGTCTCAAACTCATACTGTTAGATTCTGTGATATCCTTTAAAAATGCAAAAATATTTGCTCTAAGAAACATTTTCATGTTAGTTACTGTTTTTGGAAAACACACGAATAAAATACACACTTTTTTTTTTTTTTTAGGATCATGAAACAAAAGCCCTTTCTTTAGTTTATAGTTTATTCAGGACAGGCTATTTGTTTTGTTTTGGTCAGGCACTAGAGGGAAGTGTGGTATCACACAAGGACTGTATTCTATAAACTCTTGTATTGAAATAAGCAGGGGAAAGGAATACAGGGGAAAGGAACAGCAAAGAAGGGCTTAGAAAGTTATTTTCTCAAGATTAAAATAGAGCAACTATGGTTTCCAAAATCCACTGAGATATAGTGTTACACACAAAAACCAAGAATAGGATTTTGATCCCTTTTAAGTGACAATAACACTCAAGTAACTTGATTTTCATAGCTTCATTATTTTTTAATGATATATGCTCACTGATATAAAAAAACTTTCAAAAAGTACAGAAATGTTCAAACATTATATGAACACAAGCTGAAATCATACTCTGTACTCCCATGTGATTGGAGAGGATCTTTCAGACATCTCTCTCATTCTCTTTCCACTAGAGAAACATGCATACAATTTTAAATATATGTAATAATAATGTATCTGTTACTTTTGGGAGAGTATTGTTACAGATGGAGTAGACATTTTTCTGTGGCCCATGCCGTGATTCTTAGTAGTAAATCATATAGAGGCTATGGTAGGAGACATCACCGTGTCTAAGTTTCTTCCCCATTTACAATGTGACATTGGGCAAATGACTTAACACACCTCTATAAACCTCAGTTTCTTGGATTCCAAAAATGGGTATGACAACCTACCTTAGAAAGCTTTTGTGAAGGTTAAATCAGATCATATATTTAAATGTTGAAGATAGTACCTGGAATATATATAACTAGTGCTTAATAAATTTTAACTATTATTCTTAACTAAATGTTTCACCTTTAAAAAAAAAGATTTATTTTTATTTATTTCTGCATATAAGAACTGGGTAGAGGCCAGAGGTGCAAGGGTGGGGATGAGAAAATTCACCAGGGACACAGTGGAGAGAACAGGTGGATCTACTGAAATACACTGATGAGGGAAGCAGTGGGTAAGACAGTAGAAGTCTGCTGCATCCTGTGGGTTAGTCTCCTACTGGGGCTGTAACTCATGCCGTAATGGCTGGAGGTAGTTTGGTAGCACTGAGACTTTAACCTCTGAGCCACCAGGGAAGCCGAATATGTTCCAACTTTATAGTAATACTAAAGATTTTAAAAAAATGAAAATGTGTTATTTTTTTTCAAAAACTCATAGTAATATTTCAAAACCAAGCTTTTAACATAAATTATTACTGATTGTACATAAAAATATGTAATTTTTCTACTGACACTGGATTTTGTAAGCAATAAATACTTACTTTGTAATTACTGACTGATTTACCTGAAGACAGAAAGATTTTTTGTGAAGATATACTTAAGAATTGGCTGGTTGAATACAAGTCACCTTTTAAGCAAGACTGCTTTCTACGGGCCACCTTTATAAGACTTAAGTCCAACTAAAACTCCCTGTTAATTATTAAACTCTTATGTATTATCTGAATACCTGACACTGCAGATTGAGAACAGAGAGTGTTTGTCCCTGTCCTATACACAGATAGAAAAATGTAGTTATAGAGGTAATAAAAACTCTTTTCTCTTGTATTTAGGAAAGAGAGCAGGGTATCTTCTATTATGATTGATGTATCCTTAGACTAAACAATTGGCTTACCTTGTTTGGGCTTCCTGCTTGCTTTAGAATGGCAGATCTTGGAGTTCACAGGATCCTCCTTTTGGTTATTTCGCTGATGAAGTGTCTGGAAGGCACAAAACTGCTGGCAGACTTTAAAAAATGTGGTGACGTGGAATGTGAAAGTAAGTTTGCTTTTCTTTTTCCCCTTTTTCCTCTTACTCTGAAATGACATAAAATGTTGTGGACTTACATGATAAAAATGTGAATACCATTGAGAAATATTTGAAGCTATAACGTGTATCTCAGTATCAATAGGAAAAGTTGGAAACAAAATATTTATGATAGTACTTATTGTAAAAATATAAAGGACCTATGATTAGCCTGATACATTAATGTATCAGAAAGTATAGAGATATAAATCCATTACTCACAAACAAATTAATCAGTGCTTTTACTACATTTTAAGAGAAATATAATTGATTTGTATTATAAAGGTATCAAGCAATTTCAGTTTTATTTTTGAAGCCCTTACGATTTTTAGTTTCTATTTCACAAATACCACTTTCTGATTCTCATGAGTTTTCCAAAATGTTTTTATTTCAAAGCATCATGATTTAGTCTGTGTAAACTTTATCAAACAGTAGTCATTTCTGCGTATACTTATTATATAAAAAATGAAATCTGTGCTAATTGTACATAATTTTACCTATATCCTTGAATATTAATCTTCCTCAATCTTCTACAAGGAGAAATTATTTTTCATTTTATTATTTAAGAAGTTAATTTATTTTTTGTTATTAGCATTATAATGTAGGTGAATTACATCCCAATTTTTAAGTAACGTTTTAAGTAAGTTGTTTTAGTATATGAGATTTCTGATATGTAACATGTAAATTAAAATATAAAGTATCATAAGTATACCGATTTGCAAATAAGTTTATAATAATAACTATTTTTTAAACTTTTAATTTGGAGGGGCTTGTAAGTAAATCTATACTCAAAACATTTTTCTTAACCATTTGGGTTATGTAATTTAAATAGGGGAAGGCTTATTAGATGATATTTACAACAATAATACTCTCTCCTTCATATTTACAACCTCATTAGTTTTGTTAGGGCCAGACATAGAACAAAGGGCATATTCAAATTCAGAGCAAATTATTATTATTATTTTTTTAAAGATTTATTTATTTGTGCATACAGAACTGGGGTACAGGCCAGAGGCTCAGGGGTGGTGAGAGGCTTCACCAGAGACAGAGTAGGGAGCAGAACAGGTAGATCGACGAAGTACACTCCTGAGGGGAGCAGCGGGCGGGTCAGGTGAGGTCTGCCACACCATGTGGTCACCTCTGGGGCAGGCGGGAATCGAACTCATGCAGAAGTGGCTTTAGCTTCTTAGTGCTGTGCTTTAACCCGCTGCACCACCTCAGAGCAAATTATTTTAACATTAGCTGCATGACTGAATATGTTTAACATGTTAATATAATTATTTTAGTTAATATGGTCTGTATATTATTTATATGCTTAAGGGTTAAATCTAGCATATGTGGTTATAATCATACATTCATAGTTACTGAGTAACTGTTATGTGTCTAAGTAGGTGGGTGGTATATACCTAAGAGAATAAAATGAAATATCAGATAGTTTTTTTGCCCTCCAGGAATTTTCATTCTGGTGAATGGTGTATACTGGGCAATATGAAATAGTAAATAGTGATACAACAGAAGGATAACTAGTAATACTGAAAGACAGAAAAAGAGCAAAGTAGATTTGACCCTTTGGGGAAGTATCATAGAGGAAATAGGGTTGAACTGATCATAAAGAGAGGCAGGTGTCTAATCTTAGGAGAAGAAAAGCTCAGATTACAGAAGGTGGATGTTACAGTGAAATGAACCTCAGTGCAAATCTGGCTCCATGGTTTATCAGATATATGACCAGTTATCTGAGACTTAAAAACTCACTTGTTAGATTGAGGTGAGATTATTCACCTCCAAGGTCTGTTTGAGGACTTACTCAACTAACATTATTAAAGAGCTAATTATAATGTCTGGAATATTGTTAGGTCCCAGAAAGAAAATTATCTTTTCCTTCTATTCCCTGCTGAGAATGATGTCACATTTCAGGGACAGTGGATAGACAAGTTTAACTATCAAGAAGTGAGAGAAAGTCTTTATTTTTTTCCAATACATTTATTTACTTTCTTACATTGTGGGTCATCTTTCTATAGTTATTGTCCTCCTTAGGTGCAGCCCTCCCATCAATATTTCACTTATAGCACTACTATCTAGCACACCGTGTCTCTTTCCCCCTGCTCTGACCAATCTCACTCTTCCCTTACTGAAAGATGGGGATTGATGGTTGGCTCACAGGCCTTGTCTTTTTAAACAGGGAAGAGGACGAGGTTATGGCTAATCTTAGATACCAAGCCAAAACGTTCAGAATTGATTCTGTGTGCAGTTGGAAGTGTATATCAATTTTTGAAGCCATAGATTGTATGAAGAAGTTATTATCTGGAAATACATAGGATGGACTGGAGGAAGGCAAAATAGGAGGAGGAGAAATAACACATTTAAAATGTGTGTTTTTCTTTACATGTTTACCTAGCTTTAATAAGCAGAGTTTTGGCCACGAGAGATTACAGAGGACCCGACTGCCGATTCCTGAACTTCACTACTGGAGAAGAGATATCTGTTTATGTTAAACTTGCAGGAGAAAGAGAAGATTTGTGGGCAGGAAGTGTGAGTAACTAATCCCAAAAACTGATAGCAGAATAAATGACCAGCTTGTACAAGGATACCTGCTTTTCTTCTTCTTCTTCTTTTTTTTTTTAAGATTTGTTTTCATTTATTTATGCATATTATAACTGGGGTGTAAGCCAGAAGTGTGTGTGTGTGTGTGTGTGTGTGTGTGTGTGTTGGGGGGTGGGTGGGTATAAGAAGATTCACCAGAGACAGAGTGAGGAAAAGAATAGGCAGATCTATTGAAATACACTGCTGAGGTATAGCAGCCAAGACAGAGAGGTCTGCTGTGCCATGTGGTTTAGCTCCCTGACTGGGGATTGAACTCAAGCTGCAAAGGTTGGTGATAACTTGATATAGCACTGAGACTTTAACCCTTGTGCCACTAGGGAGGCCCTGCTTTCCATTTTTAAAAGAACTTTATCTAAGAATTTCAAAACTATATGTAAATTTACATATCTTTAAACACTTTCTTATTTATACACATATAAACATTTTTAAACAAACAAAAATGGCCATGTTTATTGGTAGTTCCAGAATTTCTGTAAAAGTAGCTTTTTGAGAAGGTACTCTGATTGGGATAGAGTAAGAATTCCATGAAATTATTTTAAAATTGTATGCTTAGATTTTCTATCTAATTTGAGAGACTTTAGTGACATCAATAGAGACAATTGGTTGACTGGGTAACCCACTACCCCTCACTGTTGTCAAATGACCAAGTTTAAGAAAGGCTGTGAAGTTAAATTGATCAGACTAAAAGACATGTCTTTCTGAGCAAAGGACTGGGTTGTTATTGAAGAGATCCTCAGAAAGATTAGAAGCCTAAGGAAATGAGGTAATTGAACTTATCATGGAAAAAATGAACTATTGGGAGAGGCTTTTACTTTGCCTAAAGTACTGTTACACTGAAATTCCTACAAGCCTGAATTATATAACACAGAAATATTAATGATCAATATTTTCAGTTGAAAAGAGGCTTGTAACTTTATTTGTATCATATTTTATAATGAAAAGATGCTATAATAAGTAATTATACTACAAAGTTTATCAAATATGACCAACCCAATACATGTATCATTTCCATATTGCCTATGGGCAGATCTCTTCATATGTATCCTTTGTGAAGGTGATTTAAAGAAGCAGATATCCTGGACCTATCCTGCTTTCTACAATCTGGGGCTGTGTAACTTAACCCCTAACTCTTACTTGCCAGAATTGTTTGCCTGGCTGCTGCAACTTCCAAGATTCCTTACTGCTTATTGTGTCCCAAACAAGCCAATCTGTGTCTTGAATGCACTGTAAGCATGCAATGCAACTATGAGGAAAATGACACAGTAATATCATAAGAGGGAAAAAAAAATTCTTTCTTGTTATCTATGTGTGAAAGTAATAGTTCCACAGTATGTAATGTCAATGTATGAAAGTAGGGAAAAGACTGAAGCACACTTAGTTTTGTGTACTAGCTGGTTAGTCCATGCTGTCCAAGGAACAACTCTGTGAAGGTCACCTATAGAATGTCAGTTTTCAAAGAGTTATAACAACTGAAGAGCTGGCAGAATCACAATTGAGGTATAATAATGCTGGATCAAAGGACCAAAGTAGATTTTTACAGGGAGAGAAAATGGGCTGAGAGTGATTATGTGACGCTTTCACTCTTCGGTGACATACTGCATACAAAGTGGATTAAGAGGAGCTGTGTTACCAGGGTAGCTCCCTGGTAGCTTGGTAGTTGAATAGAATCAAATCCTCCATGGAGGACTCAAAATGTATTTATGATTATGATGAACCCTCCTCAGCCCTTCAGAGTTTAATTAAATTTCTCACCTGATTTGGAGAACCTGAAAATGCTGAACATGTTCCAGCTCCATCTAGCATGGCTGCTATCATCATCCCCTTGTCTTCTGGTAGCCTAGTTTTACCAATATAAGTCAGCTGTCCATTTGGGTGGGAAACGTGTCTAAGGAACACAAAAAGGAAGAAAGAGCATAGGTGGGATGGTTTTCCCTTGAAGTCAGAGAAGGCAGAATTTTATGGCTTGTTTCTTTGTATTGTCAAATAAATGTAGTTCTTTTGACTAAAAGAGAATGTGATTTTATTCACTTTCTTTTATATAGCAAATGAAAATCAATTGTTTGTGATTTGAAAGAGATGCCAAGGATATGGGGCAAATTAGACTCAATAGTTATTATTTCTTTGGTCACTCTTCCTTGATACTCATTGTTCTTCATTTTGATAGAAAGGAAAGGACTTTGGATATTTTCCCAGAGATGCAGTACAAATTGAAGAGGTGTTCATATCAGAAGAAATTAAAATATCAACTAAAGTGAGTAAACTCATACATGGTTATTAACTGAACTTAAATTTGTTTGGCTAAAACAGTTGGTTTCAGCTTTTCAGTAATAGTCTGAATATATGAATAAAATTAGCTAAGAAATTTGAAGACAGGTGAAGATTTTTCTTTATGAACAATTATCAAACAGGTAGTAGAGTATAATGGTTAAATCACAGATTCTAGAAGTAGACTGAGTTTAAAGCTTGACTTGGTTACTTAGTAGCTCTGTGGCCTGGTGTACTTGAAATTTTTAATCTGTAAAGTCAGGGTAATGATTATAACATTATAACAACTAGTTAATAAATATACTATAACAACTAGTTAATAAGTATAGTTTAAAAATCTTTAAAAGATTGATTTGTTTATTTTTATGAAGTGAAATAAAAGTCAATTAAGAACTGGGATATAGACCAGAGGTATGAGAGTGAGAGGATTCAGACAGAGGGGGAAACAGAACAGGCAAATCTACTGAAATATCTGCTAAGGGGAGCAGCAGCCGACAGAAGAGGTCTGCTATTCCATGTGGTTAGGTTTTGGCATGCATGGAACTCAGGTTGCAATGGTGATAGCCCTGAGACTTAACCTGAATGCTAAATTTATTGAGGAAAAATGATCATATGTAAACTATATAGAACAGGATTTAGTTAGTGTATGAACCATTAGGTATTGTTACTAATATTTTTGTCCTAGTGGGACAACATTTATTTCCTATCACACTTCCTACATATTTTTTTCTGTGAATTTTCTTTATTACTTTTTAATGGTGGCAATAGTTCAATGCTTACTGATAATGTTAATATCTATATACAAATATATACTCTACACTTTCTACATATTATATCTGTATAGCCTCTTATGCTAGGAGAGTTTTAAATAAGCTTGGTGATGTTGGTAATGTTGTGCTTGGTAGTGGTGAAGGTTATCAGAAGCTGACTTTTCAATATATGAATTTGCTTAGTCCATCTTGTTCAGATTCCACGTTAAGTCAATGTATCTGAAATAAGGTTAGTGTGAAACTGTGCCTACTTAAGCAAATTATTATCTGGCTGTTTCCCAGAACAAATTCTAAAATTATCTGTCTATTCAACTTTATGAATACTGGTCCTGTCAGTTCCATCTCCAAAATATATTTGGAGTATATTGTCTTTTCTTCTCTTCCCCCATACCCTAAGACATCTCTTGATTAGAATACTACAATAATCTTCTAACTGGTCTGCTTGACTCTACTTTTGTCCTCTTTCAAACCATTCACCAAAGAACACTGGGCCTTATAAAAGCCACAAAAAAACAGACAAATGAAAAAATAAAAAATATTAATCAATCAGGTAATTCCTTTAATAACTTGTCATTGAGCCTGGAGGCAGGTCCTGACTCCTTACCCCAGCTCTACATGATTTTGTTCCTGGCTTTCCTATTGACTCTGTTTTATGCTCCATGCCCCTTTACTAAGTTCTTAGAACACACCATGCTCTTTCCCAGCCCAGGGCATTGGAATGTTTTCCCTAAGTTCCTCATTGCACTAGTTCCTTCTTAGTCTTTAGGTCACAGCATAAACACCAATGCCTCAGAAGATTTAAATGATGATTCTAAAGAAAAGAAATACTTAGCAGTATTTATTTATTTTCTCCATAACACTTATCACAATTTATAATTATTTTCTTCCTTATTGCCTGCTGTAGCACCCAGTACAATGCTGGGCATATAGTGAACATATAGAAATATTAAATGTTTGAGGCAAGTCACCTGGGAAGTGGACTCAGATAAATCTTTGCATCTGGAAAGGTACTCTTGGGAAAAGCACCTGTGATGGAACAAAATAAAAAGTGTGCTGCTTTTGCACGAAAGGTCTCAGCTAATTCATAGGGAACTCTGAAGCCAGGATGTCTTTGAGTCCTGAGCAGAGGCAAGAGGTTGGGCTTTTTAGCCTTGCATTACTGGCTCATTTGTGGTAGTGTTAACTGTGGGCTACATTAGGTTAGTGTTTTCTAGAGGCAGATAACTCTTGTTTACTCATTTAATTCTTATGAAACCCTTGTAAGTTAGATACTGACATTACTCTCATTTTACAATTGAACAGACTGAAGCATAAGATCATGTAATTCACCAAGGTCACGGAGGAGTAGATGATGAGATCAAAATTTGGACCCAAGGAATTTGGCTCTATAATCAGCACCATATATTTCAGTATCAAAAATAATTTGTATAATTGTAATTCTGAGATTTACTTTTAAAAAATTTAAACATCATCCTCAGTTCACAATGGTGTATAAGATCAGCACAATTACTATTTCATATCTTCAGATCTAAAAAAATAATAGCTTCCCCATTCTTCTTCTTGATGATTTGGTTCTATTAAGTAAGCTAGGAGATCCCCACTTCCATTGCAATAGGCAATATCTGGGGTACAGGCCAGAGGCTCAGGGGAGGCGAGAGGCTTCACCAGAGACAGAGTGGGGAGCAGAACAGGCAGATCAACGAAGTACACTACTGAG